TGCCTGCCCTGCTAACCCTGCTGGCCCTGCTGGCCCTGCTGGCCCTGCTAGCCCTGCTGGCCCTGCTGGCCCTGCTGGCCCTGCTGGCCCTGCTAGCCCTGCTGGCCCTGCCCGCAGCTGGATGTGCCCGGCTGTGCCCGCCGCTCCAGCCTCCGCACCCATCCCTAACCCCACACATCCCCTGGCATCCCCGGGGCTGTACCGGACTGCAGATTCACAGATTCACTCGGAATGCGGCTCACGACCTGCTAAACATTGCCTGCGAGGTCCTAAGCTTGAGTAACTCGGGAGAAGAACAGTTCTTTAAATAAGCATTTATTTGATATTTAATATTATTATATTATTTAATGTATCCTGCACTCCTCATTTGTACACTGAGACTCAAAGCAACAGCGTGTGATGGCTTGTAATGCTCAATTTTTGATTCGTGGGCAGGGTTTCCTGTTTTAAGGATCAACTTTTATTCTCTGCTGTAGGACTTTAGGAGCAGGCAGATCTGGGGCTGCACAGTGAGCTCCAGGTGCTGTTTTGACACCCATGGATCTGGAGACAAGCTGGGGCTTCCACAAGGTCACACACAAGCGTATTTTGTACCAGCCTGCAAAATTCACATACAAATTTCACAGCATCTGGCTGTACAGGAGCTGGGGATATTATCCATGACTGCTTGGGGACCTGGCCCTCCAGAGTGGCAGAGCCATTGCCAGCAGCCCTCAGCTCAAGGAGCTGCTCTGCTTTGTAGATTTTCCTCTACTCTTGAGAATCTTTGTCAAACCAGGATAAAAGACTTGTGTCCAAAAGTTTATTTGGGGTTTGGTTTTATTTTCCCCAAAAGCCTAATAAGATCTTTCACCTACAAACCTTCCTGACCTGCTGTAGATGAGAAATGCAGGATCATCGGGGCTGCAGCCAAATTTCATCAACTGCTTGCACAGAAGCGAGGAAGAGACTTGCCATGCTGCTAAGCTCAGCCTCCAGACCCCGCAGCAGCAGGGGAGAGCAGAGGCTCCGAGCAGAGCCTGGCTTCCCTCGGGGCTCTCAGAGCCTGCCGTGGTGTCCAGCGAGCGCAGGGGAGGCTGAGCAGGCACAGGGATGCCCAAAGCCTCTCTCTCCTGTGTGCCAGGCTGCTGCTGGAGCCAAGAGCCTGTGCTTCCACGCCAGCTTGAGTCAGGCTCATGGCCACCGAGCTGCTGGCACAGAGAGTGTTTTCTCCCCACCACCCACTGCCAGCTCCTCTTGCAGGCTGCCTCCCCTGGACTCCCGTGCCGGGTGCTGGCACCTGCCTCTCCCAGCTGGGTTCAGCTCCCTGCTTGGCAGGCAGATGTCCCCAGCTGGATGTCCCCTGAGCCAGAATCCCTGGCTGTGTCTGGCTGCTTTCCTGCCCTTGGAGATCAGCTGCTGCAGCCTGGCTGTGCCAGGTGCAAGCTGGGCCACAGCTCTCCAGAGTGGCTTTGCTCCATGTTTGCTTTTCCACGATTATCTGGAGAAGAAGACTCCGACTGACAGCTTAGTGCAGGAATCAGTGGTGTCCTGAACATGGCCAGCTGCTTCTGGGCACCCTGAGTGTCCTCTCTCTGTCCCCAGCCAGCATCTTCTGCAAAAGTTTGTCCTCCTCAGAAATTATGGCCCACTCCAGTACACACATGAGAAAGATAAAAAAGGGGCTTTGTGCCATGTCCTAGAAGCCAGGATGACCTGACCTTGTGCAGCCTTCCAATCTCATGGCAAGGCTCTCCCACAGTGACAAGGGGAAGGCAGCGGTGACCCCAGTGGGAGACACCAGCTCCAGCTGCAGAGCAGGAAACTGCAGCTGGAGGCATTTCCCTCTTGGGCAAAGGGGGGACTGCCTGATAGTATTGCTCCTTCTTGCAGGGGCCTTCCTCATCCCGTATTTCCTGACACTGGTGTTTGCTGGGATTCCTCTCTTCCTGCTGGAAACTGCTCTGGGCCAGTATACCTCTGTTGGTGGACTGGGAGTCTGGAGATTAGCACCCATGTTCAAAGGTACTGTGCTCTGTGTTTGTGGCAGCAGTGGCACATAACAACAGGCAAAACCCCATTAATGGTTTGAAGAAATATCAGCAAATCCCTTGGGGGCTGGGATGGGGTGGCAGGGTTTTTCCCTCTGTCTTTCTCAAGCTGTGACCTCAGTGTCTGCAGTCACTAACACCACTGTGGTCTGTCCAAGTTTGGTGTGGTGACAAGGGACTTCATGAGCAGTATGGACTGCGATGGAGGGGCTCTGGTTACAGAATCCTTTGTTTTCCCAAGCCTCCCTACACATGCTTGCTTTAATTGCATGGGAGCAATTAACTCCCTGTTGCCATGCTTGAGGTAACTGTTTTCTAGAAGCCAGTGGTGATTTAGAAATGCCTTTGGGTTGGCTGTGGGAAAGAGCAATCCTGCCAGAGAAGTGACAAGATCCTGTTTTCATGGAGCTCTGTCCATAAAGTGCCAGTAGGTAAAGCATTGAAAGGTAGCATTGTTCCCCAGTGGAAATGAGAGACATGAGGGAATGGGCCTCCCTTGCTCACAGTGCAGCTGTAGCACACTCTGTGTCGATGAGCTGATTCCCTTTCCCTGGTTTTCAAAGAAACCTTGCTGTGCTGCCCATGAGCTCCCTTGGGTGCTGGAGACCCAGACTGAGGCTGCTCTCTGCCTTCCTTTGCAGGTGTGGGACTGGCAGCTCTGGTCCTGTCCTTCTGGCTGAACATCTACTACATTGTCATCATCGCCTGGGCTCTCTACTACCTCTTCAACTCCTTCACTGCGGTGAGTCACGGGCCCAGGGCCCTGCCTGTGCTCTGCTCCCTCTCCCACTCATGGCCAGTGATTTGTTTGTGGCCCACAGCAGGCACTGGCTGCTTGCCACTTGTGCAACGAGCCCTCCTCAGCATGGTGCTAGACCCTTCTGAAGAGGTTCCTCAGCCCTGGAGGCAGTTTTGTAGTGCTGATCAGTAGTGATGCTTGTCCTCTGGAGGGGATGGTCCCATCCCCTCTGCAGGAACTGTTCCCCCTCACTCCAGTCTTGTGAACTCACCTTGTGTTTCTCTTTTATTGCTAGGGCTGCTCGAATCTGAGCTGCACATTTCCAGAACTGGTTTTGTCAGGTTTTGCCACATCGTGGTCTTATTTCTCAGGACTTACTCCTTATCTGAATTAGTTCTTATTCACTTCTCTCTTGATAAATAATATCCAAGGGATTTTTTTTTTTTTCTCCTGGGAAAATTATTCAGAAAGTATCTGGATATCTGCCTGTGACTGTCTCTTAGTTTGTGCTTTGGCCTGTGTGGGCTCCTCTTCCATAGCAGGACCCTCTATCATCCAAGGTTAGAATCACACCCCATATTAACTTCTTCTTAGCTGAACTCTTTATTTCAACCCAGGAACCGGTAAGAGTTTCCTTAACGTAACTCTCCGAGCAACCTGCAGCCTTAAAGACATCAACCCCATGGTTCAGATGGGATCATTTTAAATGTCATTTAGATATAACCCTGAAATGCTATTGTGGCCACTGTACATCCAGTTCTACTTTTTGTTCCTGAAAAAATGTCAAGTATCTATCAAGACTTTTGTGAATCATTCCATTTGGCATTCCCAAATTGGTGCTTCTACCACCAATACCACCTATCACTGTAGGGTTCTGGATCTAGAACAAAACTGTTGGCTGTGATTAGATGCTCCCTCAGGGATTCCTGAATAAGCAGAGGTCTTTCCCAAAGTAACCCATGGCAGCCCCACCCTGGGCAGGATGCAGCTGGGGATGAGGCTTTGGCACCTGCAGGTGTTACAGACCTGGCTGGGGGCAGTGCCTGTGTAGGGATATATTTTGTATAAAATACAGGATGCAGCTGGGGATGAGGCTTTGGCACCTGCAGGTGTTACAGACCTGGCTGGGGGCAGTGCCTGTGTAGGGATATATTTTGTATAGAACTGTATATTGTATAGCCCAGTGCAGAGGGGTACATGTGAACATACAGACATAGGTACACACCTGCAGAGGCACAGCTCTTTGGCTCCTTTGCTTTCACCAGAGATAATAATCCCAGATTCCCCAAAGGACCCAAGGTGCAAATGAAAAAGCTGGGCTGATGTCTGTCCCCTGTGCCTCCTAAATTTGACTAAGAGTATTTTGAACTAGAATAGCAGCCCAGCCTGCCTTCTGCAGCTTCTGTCCTCTGAAATTCAGAGGAAATGGAGCATCAATAAACTGTCCCCCAGCCTGCCCCTCCCTGTGGGAGCTGTGCAGCTTCTCTAACATGCAGACACTGAAGAGCTGCTGTGCTGCTCGAGCCACTGCCTTTTCTTCAGTGCAGTTAGCAAGTCCTCAGTGAAATCACCAGCTGGGTTGGCCTGGGTGGCCACTGGAATGTCACCCCCACCCCGCAATAGTCACCATTCTGCCAGGACATGAAGGTATCCTCTGCTGGAGTGAACTGATGTGAGCGCTGTGGAGCAGTCAAGGCAGCACTTAAAGGCACTGATGCCACAAGGCACTTAAAACACAGATAATATTTTTGTGAAAGAATAGGGGTGGATACAAACATCTTCTTAAAACTTTGTTGAGCTGGAACCTCAGGTCTTACCTGCAGAGGGAAATCACCCAGGATAGCTGCTCTGCATTTACCTACACGCCCTGTGCTTGGGAAAAGAGCTGGCTGCTCATGGGGAGCTGCTTTCCTTGGCTGGCTCAGGCTGGCACTGCTCTCACACAGCCCCTGGCAGCGCTGCCTCACTGCCTGCAGTGCCAGAGCTGACTGCACTGAGCCTGTGGTGCTGTGCTGCTGTCACACTGCTGCCCACGGTGGACACATCTCCCAGGGATCCCTTTGTGCTGCTCACAATCGAGGCAGTGGCCAGCTCGACACAGCTGCTGTCCTGTACAGTTCACTGCTGTGCTTGTGTTACAACAGCCTGTTTGTGTAGACAGCCCGTGGCCTCCATTCTCAGGGCCATGTTCCTCTCTGGGCATTGAAGTTGGTGTCAGTGAAACATAAGAAACAAATCCCTGCTTATTTTTTGTGCAGTAAATTCCAGACACTTGTTGAGTGAAGCTAGCAAAAAGCTGTAATGGTTATAAACACAATATCACTTGATAGTATTTTAATATGTAGGTATTAATTATCAACAGTTAATTGGAAGTGGCTTTCTATGTGGGGAATTGCTAACGTTTTATCGGAGCTACAGCATTGCCCTAATCACATCATGGTATTTTTTCCTAGAAAGTCATTGTCACAGTTTATCATAGTTTGGAAAATTGTTCCATTATTTTGGCCACAAGGGCATGCCCATTCAGTGGAGCTGCCCCTTCTCTTTGCAAAAAAAAGAAAAAATGTAAGGGGTTTCAGTTTAAAGAAGCCAGATTTCTCTTGGGAGACATCTCATGGATGACAACCCTGCTGTCCTTGCAGGACCTGCCGTGGCAGAACTGTGGGAACGCCTGGAACACCGAGCGCTGCTTCTCCAACTACTCCCTGAACGACACCACCAACCTCAGCAGCGCTGTCACCGAGTTCTGGGAGTACGTCCCAGCCTGCCTGGGCCAGCTTTCCCCCTCCCCTGGTGCTGCCTGCCCAGCTGTGCCTGCTGGCCGTGTTCCCTGGGCACTTGGGCAGGGGTGTCACAGCCAGCCCTGGGCCATGCTGGGCACTCTGATGGGGCAGGCAAACATCCTCTCCTCTCCTCTCCTCTCCTCTCCTCTCCTCTCCTCTCCACCTCCCTCTGTCCCAGCACCACGTACCTCCCTTCTCTCTGGGGATCTGGGGCTCCTCACACTCGTCTGCACCTGCTCCTTCCCCCTCCAGCCACCTCGGGGCTGCAGTGCCCTGCCCTTGGTTGTCAGACCTCCTCCAGCACGGTGTCTCCTGCCCTAGGAGGAACATGCACCAGATGTCCGGAGGCCTGGGGGAGCCCGGCACCGTCCGCTGGCCCCTGGCTGGCACGCTGGCCCTGGCCTGGCTGCTGGTCTACTTCTCCATCTGGAAGGGTGTGGAGTGGACAGGCAAGGTACAGTGCGAGGGCTGGGCCTGGGGGGCTGCCTCTCATTGCTGCTCTGTCACAATCTCCTCCAGACACAATTTCATTTAAGTGTCTGTAACTAAGGTTGCGGTGTTCAGAGTATCACAGTCGATACTGTTAAATTCCTGACATTTAAATTTCACCGCTGTAAAAATTGCTCCTGTGTTTATGGTAATTTTCATTCCAAGTGTAGAGAATAGCTCTTGCCTGTAAGGTTGTGGGTCTGAGCACACATTCTTTTTGAGAAGAGGCATTTTCAGAAATTACTTACATTTCCCACTTTGGGACGGCCCTTTGAGAGAGCAGAGCTTCTCGTGGCTTCCCCCTTTTGACAATCACAGTCTCTCAAATTGCCTCTGGTGGAAAAAATCTCAGCATCTCCTTTGAAAATTTCCCTGCTGCCCTTTCGATTATTGGTGGAGACCTTTGGATGAGAAGCCCGTTGTTATTCCCTGTGCAGTGTTCCAGGCTAGCACAGCAGAAAGGTAATTGCTTGGTTTAGTGAAACAGCGGTGCCGAGATGCTGGGATGTGTTATTTGAGCACAGCATGGTGCAGTGGGACACGATTATGATTGGAATAGTTAGAGGAGAGATGAGAAAGAAGCACTTCAGGGGTAGGTCACCCAAGCTGTTAACTTCCCCAGTGCCTCTCAAACAGGCTTTAGCTAAGCAGCCACAGCAAAGCCCTGGTGATTCCTGGTGTGGGGCCTGTGATGGGGGATGGATCATACCTGTAAGAGCCTGGAACACTGCTGGAGAAAAAGCACTGGAATCAAGACAACTCATTTTGTTTGGTGCACTGGTCTAGAGAAACACCAGCTTTAGCTCTGCAAATTAAGGATGTGATGACTTAAAGGGATTACTTCTGTGGACTAAAATTATCCCTGTGCAATTCCCTTGTCTCTGGGCATTTCGTACAGACTTTAGCATGCTACTTTTGTGATTAGTGTGTCCTTGTGTATCATTGGCAGGGGGAAACAGCAAACAGCCAGAGCATGGGAATGGGGGACAGCAAATGCAAGGAAATGCTGCTGAAAGTGGCTGTGCTTGGGAGCCTGTCCCCCTCACAGGAGAACATGCCAGACTCAGTGACAGCACGGGCAGGGAAGCTGCTGGGCACTGATGAGTGATGGCTTCTCCCCCATGGGGTCTTTTTCAGGTGGTGTATTTCTCAGCCACCTACCCCTACTTCATGCTCTTCATCCTCCTGTTCCGGGGAGTCACGCTGCCAGGAGCCAAGGAGGGGATCCTCTTCTACCTCACACCTGACTTCAGGAAGCTCTCTGACTCTGAGGTTTGTACCTAGTGAGGAAAGCTCTTATCTCCCAGCTGTCCCTGCATTAGGCTTCCCCAGGCACTTCCTATGAATACTGTAAGTACAAAATATTGTACTTTAATATTGTGTATTAAAGTAATGCTGGAATAAAACCCTGGTCAAGACCCATGTCCCATAGGCTGAGACAAAACTGAGGGACAGGTCCTTCATGGGGGGAAGACTTCAGCAGCTCTGTTCTACTCAAGCAGTGTTATCCACAGGCCATGAGGAGTCTGAAGCTATGCTGACAGAGCTTCCCTCTGGGCTGGGAATGCCTCATTTCTGCCCTAGGGCTGGTGGTCTGGTCTTGTCCTGGTGGTCCCAGAGAAAGGATGATGTGGGGCTGGCATGGGGGCCTCAGGAGGAGCACAAGCACAGCAGCAGTTTTTGGAAGTGCTTAAGTGATGAGTGGTGGCCAGTAATGTGCTCTTGCTCACTGGAAGCAGAGAGGAGACCCAGGAGGAGCAGGGATATTTGCAAAAATGAAGTTTTTCAGGAGACACAGACTCTGTGTTTTTCAGCAGCGATACTCCCATGGTTCCAAAGTCACCAGTCATGTGTGACAACTGGAAATCCATCATTTCCCAGTGGGGGTCCCAATGATCCCCCTTGCAGGACACTCCCTAGCTGTAGCACCAACTGCATTGGCTCTGATGCAGGAACGGGGCTCTCAGGACCAGGAGAGTTGTGTAAATGCTATGCAATTAAGAAACAGTCTGCCTCCTTTTCTTCAACTTTCTAAGCTTTCAGACATTAAGGCACTGGGGCCAGTTTTGCAAGCTGTCCTCTGCAGTTGTTTGCACAATCAGCTCCATGTTGGAAAATCAAAGAGACGCTAGTGGAAGAGAAACGGAGGGTGTGAGAGCAGGATGCGGCTCTCTGAGTGGAGCAGCATCCCTCAGGGGCACATGTGAGAAAGCAAACACACACACACAGAGTCAGTGCAAGAGTTCCTTCTGATCTGATCAGAAATGCATGACCCTTCGTGCCCCCGCAGCTGCACAGACTGCACCCCTGCTAGCCCTGCACTGAGCTGCTGCAGGACATGCACCTGCAGCACAGCCCCCTTCTGCTGCACTCCTCTTCTGGCTCCTTCTCTGCAGGTCTGGATGGATGCAGCCACTCAGATCTTCTTCTCCTACGGCCTGGGGCTGGGCTCCCTCATTGCTCTGGGCAGCTACAACACTTTCCACAACAATGTCTACAGGTCAGTGCTTCGTTTCCATCCTCCCGTGGCAGGGAGTGCTCCTGGCTGAGGCAGGGGCTGTGCTGGGTCTGCCTGATCTCTGCTGTCCCCTTGCTGGCAGCAGGCAGCCCAGGGGACACTCTGTGACCTCAGGAGAGGCTCCCTGCCTGCAGGACACTTGGCATGTCACTGTGCTACCTGCCCAAGGCACAGGGCTGGGTCTCTGCAGGGCTTGGACTTCACCCCACCCTCTGCTCTTGGCAGGGACTGCAGGTGGGGTTTCTTCTCTTCCTCTCTTCCAGAGATTCCATCATTGTCTGCTGTATAAACTCCACCACAAGCATATTTGCGGGATTTGTTATTTTCTCTATCATTGGCTTCATGTCACACATCACAAAGAAGTCGGTGGCAGAGCTGGCCTCCTCAGGTAAGCAGAAACCCAGGTTCAAATGCAACAGCACCCTGTGAGAACCATTTGTAACTGAGTGTGGGGTGCTCGTGGGTCTTTCCTGACTAGCTGTGCTGAAGTTTTAGTTGCTGTAGTGTTATATAATTTTTCTGTAGTAGTTATTTAGTTATTAGTAGTTATTTAGGCCATTTGCTGTCTGAAACCTATGGAGAATAGATACTGCCTGTGTTCTCAGTAGATGTGATCAAAACCTGGTGTCCCTTTTTCATCTCAAGAAACAGCTTTTTGTGATGGAAGAAAAAAAAAAAAAAGGTACCAGGAAAGTTAAAACCAGCTCTGAATATCAGTTTATTTTCTAGCAAACTGCTCCAGCTCCATTTGGTTGCAATAATTTGGTGACTTTCTTGCTTGCAGGATTTGTTTCTCCAATCATTTCTGTCTCCCCACCTTACCCCCGAGTTGGTGTTTCACAGGCACAAAGGCTCAGGTGTTCCCTGCATGAAAACCCTTGAGCTCTGGGCTGTAATTTTTGTCTCTCTGTTTAACCACGGCCTTTAGCTCAGACTTGCCATCAAATGCTTTGTCAAAGTGGGCTCATCCCTCTTTTCCTCGCTGCAGGCCCTGGGCTGGCTTTCCTCGCCTACCCGCAGGTTGTCACACAGCTGCCGCTGTCCCCACTCTGGTCAATCCTCTTCTTCTCCATGCTGATGATGCTGGGTCTGGACAGCCAGGTGAGACAAGCCAGGACAAAGCAGGGGAAGACACAGAAGTGTTGTCAGGTGCAGTGCAGGTGTCCCCTCCTGCAGGGTGACAGTGCTGAGCACAGTGGGGTTTGCTCTCTGACGGTGTCAGGCTGAGCTTGCCCCCAGCCCCTTGGCACTGGTGCTGCTGCCTGAGCTGCAGCTCCCTGGGCTGCCCCACGGATCCAGGGATAGATCCTGGCAGAAGGAAGAGTCACACCTTGGAGGAGGCTGGTGCCTGGGGACCCTGGCTGCTCTGCCATCAGATCAGCTTCACAAGGTACCTGAGGGGAAGCAGTTCTATGGAGCAAAAGGTCTCTCCCCTGTCCCCTCACAGCCCTCACAAAACAAAACAAAACAAAAACTATAATATCTGCATTTTTACAGGTGGTGATAGGTTTTTTTTCTGATAATTCAACATAAAAGCAGCTGCCCAGTGAGGCAGTGAATTGCAGCATGCCTTCCTTTTGAGTGCACCAAAATCAAAGGTTCCTGCAAAAACCTGCACTCGATGTGTCATAGGAGCCCTTGTGCCCACGTGCTCTTCTCTCACAGCACAAACCTCCAGTGCAAAATGGTGCTGGCTTGGATTGCAGCTACTGCTCATAAACCCAAGCCTGCTTCAGACTCAAACCCATTCCTGAAATGTCACACCTGGTTTCCAGGAAAATCTAATTAACACAATCTGGTTTTCAATCATGTCACACTCTCATAAACACTTTATAAAGCTCATGAATGCATTACCACAGACAGAATATAGAAAAAAAAAAATTAAAAAAAAAATCAAATAATACCTAAGTGTGCTGAAAGAAACTACATTTACAGAAAAAAATTATCTGCATGGATTGTTCAGTCAGTGCTGGTAAATAGTTCGAGACATGGCAATAAGCCCTCTAAGCTCTCTGTGGAATTTATTTGCCACATTTGCTTCCAAAATACCCCTTGAAATTCTCCACGTCCCTTCTGACAGCCAGTCTGTTGGGGGGCATCACTGCCTGGAGGAACAGGCTGGGGGGAGTGAAGCATCCAAAGGAAAACAAGCTTTTAAAAGCACAGCTAAATCCATGTGAAGAAGCTTTGTGTCTGCATGTGGAGCTCTGGTTCATTCAAACTCAGCAGCAGCATGGCAGCTTATGTACATAAAGCATAAGGGGCTGCTACAGTGGCTGCAATCCCACTGCATTTTGGAGAAATGAAAAGGGCTGATGACACATCCTGGGTGTTATTTGTGAGTGGGAGCAGGCATTTCTGGAGTGGCTCAGTAGCCAGGCTGGGGAGGCACGGCAGGGGAAAGGCTGGGCTGGCATCGGGCTGGGGGCACCCACGAGCTGCAGCCAGAGTGATGCTGGTCCAGAGAGGCTCCTGCAGCTCCATCCCCCTCTTCCTGCCAGTGCTCATCCCTCTGCAGCCCCTGGGCTGGGATGGATGACCTGCAGTGACAGACTGTGTCCCCTGCAGTGACAGACTGTGTCCCCTCTGTGTCTGACTGTGTGTCCCCTCTGTGTCTGACTGTGTGTCCTGCAGTGACAGACTGTGTCCCCTCCTGTGTCTGACTGTGTGTCCCCTCTGTGTCTGACTGTGTGTCCTGCAGTGACAGACTGTGTGTCCTGCAGTGACAGACTGTGTGTCCTGCAGTGACAGACTGTGTCCCCTCTGTGTCTGACTGTGTGTCCCCTCTGTGCTGGCTGTGTGTCCCCTCCTGTGCTGTGTGTCCCCTGCAGTGACAGACCCGTGTGCCTTGCTGCCCCCTCTGCTCTCCTCCATCCGGGCTCTCTCCCATCCAGAGCCCCTTTCAGAACGTGCTAATGCCTCCTTTTGACCTAGGGGATGCCAGGTCAGGCATTTATTGCTCGGGGAGCTGGCAAGCCTTGTGCCAGCCAGCCTGTGGCTGTGCCATGTGCAGCTGCCACGAGGATTTCCAGCTGCCAGTGGTGAGAACACTCTCATGGACCTCTGCTGCACATCTGGCAGCCGTGGCCAGACTCCCCACGGTCCCTGCATGCCCCCTGGATGCTCTGTGAGCAGGGAACAGCCAACCCTTGACACTGGGAGAGGGTGGGAGAGAGACTCTCCTTCAGACAGAGCTGCCAACCCTCTATTGACTCCCAAGCCCAGAATGCTGGACCCAGCAGCTTGTGTGATGATGATTAGGCCCCTCAAGGGGGAAAGGAGCAAAAAAGAGAAGTTAATGGAAATAAAATGCTTGGGAAAGAAATAATATGGGGTGAGGCATGAAGAAGAGAAGAATATGTGATAAAAATGGGCTGGAGAGGGTTGGTGGGAAAAGCAGGATTTTTTGGAAAGCAGACTGCAGTGGCAAGAACAGGAGGCACCAGTGCTCAGCTCCTTGGCACTCTGAAAGCAGCATGCCTCATTCAGGTGCCTACATGCACAAGCAGCCAAGGTTTTGTCTGTAAGCTGGGAAAAATGAGCCCTGTGCCCAGCAGCTGCAGTCCCTGGGGCTGGAAAGGTGAGCCTCCTGCAGGCTGCAGCCCCTGTGAAGTCTGAGGCTGTCAGGAGGCAATTTTCAGTAAATGGTGTGAAGGTTATTGACTGTTCCATGGCTAGAAAAAGCGGTGTACAATCATTTATTTCTCCATTACACAGGAGCTTAATTTTGAGAGGAGACAAAGAGAATTCAACTCACTTTGTAGCCCTGTTCCTCATCACCCATCTCCCTGGCTTTTCCTCTGTGCATTCCCTGATTTTGATTGTTCTCCCTGCACCAAAGGGCTGTCAGCTTTACTCCATCCCATTATCTAAGGCACCCATTTCTTTGCTCCTTCTCTGCTGGACACCCCCTCTGCCCCCAGCCGGGGCTGTTCCCCTCCAGACGCATTTCCCTTTCTGGTCTCAGCTCCCCTGGCCCTGCCATGGCTCTGGCACTGCCTGCCCCTGCAGCCATGTGGAAGGAATAGATTTTGACAGTGTTTTTTTAGTCATGCTATCCCTCCACACTGTGGTGCCAGCTCAGTCCTGACTCTTGCAGACAAGCCAGGTGGGATGGGGTGAGGAGCTCACTGTCAGTGACTGTAAAGGCAGCTCAACCCAGCATGAACGGCACAAGATGCTTTAATGGCACTCGTGTCCAACATAAAAAGCTCAGCTCATTAAAGATTCAAGTGGAAGCAGTTGAGCTTTGGGGCTCTGGGAATACTGGCTTTCCATGCAGACACAAAACCCTGGGCAGGCACATCTCCCTTTGCCTTGCTCTGGCCCACGGGGCAGCCAGCCCCAGCAGTCAGCAGCAGGGGGATCTTCCACCATCCCTGCCCAGCCACAGGCTCAGGCACTGCATTCTTCTTCCACACATCCTCCCAACCCTCTGCTGCTCTCTTTGGTCTGTCTGTGCACCTCCACCTCCACTCTAGGGCTTTTGTTTTCTTCCCAGGGAGGGGGAAGTCCCTGACATCGAAGGGTGATGAAAAACTTTGTTTTTCATTGCACTGGCTTGCACATTTGCTCAGCCTGACCAGGGAAGCCAGTTTGCTGCCCTCATACATTCCCAGGGCCCTTGCTAGAGGCACAGAGAGGTATGTTACCTGTAGTTTCTGGGAGCGAGATATAAATCTCAGCATTTATCAAGAGATGGGAGGGAAGGATGCACTTCACATACACACAATCAAACTGCCCTTGTGCCAGGAGGCAGAGCTGGTTGGAGAACTGGAAGGCAGCACTCATGGGGATTTCGTTATGTGTTATGGTGCAGGCAGCATTATTATTATTATATTATTATTCTATGATATATAATTATTATACTGTGCCTGGTGCAGCTCTGCACAAACCATGCAGGGGTTTCCACCTCTGGAAAGGTGACGTGCTGTGAGGCTGTTGGTGTGCTTGAAAAAGCAAGATGAAGGACTGGGCAATAAGAGATGTTGTTATTCCTGTGCACACGAGACTGGGTAATGCAGGTCCTTACGGAACCTTCTGGATCATCGAGCCACTCAAGGGCTGTTCCACAGGCTGAGAGCAAGAAGGGAGCAGGGGCAGAGGTCCTGCACATGTCCCAGCTGCTGGCAGCCAGACACGGCTGTGACACAGGGCCTGGCAGCCTGGGGAGCAGGGCAGTGATGGGGAGGCCCCAGGGAGTTTGTGGGAAGAAAGAGGAGGCTTTTCATGAGAAGCAAAAGGCAGAGATTTATCTCAGCTATTTTTAAGTATTTAACTTTGGTGCTCCTAGCTCCATCTATACTCAGTGGGGAGAGAGATGAATTTTCAGAAGATGGTTCAGACCAGCTTCGTGCAGAGATATCTCTTTGTTTTCTAGAATCTGCAGAGTGCAGAAATCACTAAGGTTCTCCATGTGTGTGAGTTCCTTATAAATACACATATATCTATCCTCGGTGTATGCCTCTCCCCATAGTTCTGCACTGTGGAAGGGTTCATTACAGCCCTGATGGATGAGTACCCCCGAGTCCTAAGAGCCAGGAAGAAGATCTTCATTGCAGTGGTCTGCTTCATCTCTTACCTCATTGGATTCTCCAACATCACCCAGGTACAGATGGCTGTGCTTGTCCCTCCATCCCTGACACCTCTCTGGTCACCTGGCACAGCACAGCACCACCAAAGCCTGGGGAGAAGTGGCAGCATTTCTCCTATTCTGGATAAAGGGGTCTGCCCATCACTGCTGCATCTCCAGTGCCTTAGGATGCCTCCATAATTGTTACCATTGTCTATGGTCAGTCTGGCCTGTTGTTTTGCTATTTGCAGTAAGGACTCAAGCCAACAGAGCCCAAATTTAGGGAATGCTTGCTGCAAAGAGTTAAGATAACACAAATAAAACCTCTCTGTTGGGGGCTTGAACCTCTGGAGCTGAAGCTGAGGTTCATGTGAGGGGAGGTGAGGGCTGGGTGCTCTGGAGACCATTTGTGGAGCGGTGTGGGTTCACGAGGAACCCTCTGGGGAGGGGCAGACTAAAGCAGAGAAATAGAAGAGATCCTAGTGAATGTTTTCCTCTCCCTCAGCTATGCCTGAGCAGGCTGGCTAATTGTCTGCAAGAGCACATCAGTGTTGCTGCTGGGAACCAGAGTCCAGTGGAAACATTGCAACAGTGGCTCTACTGTCCAAGGAAATTAACATTAAACCAACAGACATGGACAGCAGCAATCCAAGCTGCTGGCTGATATTGTCGATCATAATCTATAACTGAACTCATTGACCCTGGTTTTGTCTTTTCAGGGTGGCATTTATGTCTTCAAGCTGTTTGATTACTACTCAGCCAGTGGCATGTGTCTCCTTTTTCTTGTCTTCTTTGAGACCATCTCAATTTCTTGGTGTTATGGTAAGCACAAAACACCTTGTTCTTTTATTTCCTCCGTGGGCATGGTGACTTACTGAAAGAGCCAAAGCCAGTGAAGACAATGACAGTTTTGCAACCAAAAATAGCTTAGACCGATAACTTCAGAAAATCAGGAGTGGAAGGCTTCATCTCACTTCTCCAGGCCATCACAAAGACCTCTTCCAGACTGGCAGATGCCCAGGGTTGTTCCCTCTGGGTCCTCAAGAGGACACCAGGAACATGGAAGCTGTTAGCATGAATTTGTGTGCCATGGAAGCTGTTAGCATGAATTTGTGTGCCATGGAAGCTGTTAGCATGAATTTGTGTCCCAGTACCCCATCCCCTCCAGCTAATGCTTCTCATGCCGCCCTCTCACCCTCCTGCTGTGCCTGGCCTGTGCTCTGCCATGAGCAGACCACAGTGCAGAAATTGAGGGGGTTTTTTCCCATGCTTATTTCTTCTTGTAGGTGTGAACAGGTTTTACAGGAACATTGAAGAAATGATTGGTTACAAGCCTTGCATCTGGTGGAAGATCTGCTGGGCTTTCTTCACACCCCTTGTCTGCCTGGTGAGACCTGGGGAGCCCAATGTGCAGGAGTGGGTCTAGAAAGGCCTCCAGATGGGCTGTAGGGAAACACTGTTCTCACCCCAGCAAGGGGGTCCCAGGCAGACTGGAGATGGGTCAAGTGATACAGGAGCCTCTTTCTCTCTGCCTGCTGGAAATCACCCATAAAAAAGTTCTAGATGATTGCTTTTAATCTAAATGAGGCCATCGGCTCTTCTTTTTCTTCTTCTTTTTTTTCCCCCTGAGATAGCAGAAGATAAGCAAAATAATTTAATGTTTCAAAAAGCTATTCTTGGTTCTGGCTTTCAGCTACTCCAGCTTCAGCCTCTGACAGGCTCATGAGAACAAAGCTATCACAAAATGCAGGATAAGTGACTGCAGAGCAGTTTGGCCTTTGCAGGTTCCTGCCCTTCCAGCACAAGCAGTGCAGGGAGTGGTGTGCCAAGGCCAGGGACAGGAGGATGGAGACTCCTGGGACCAGCTGTGAGGATGCTGTTTGCTTGCCCAGGAGCTGCTCTGGGGGCACTGCTTGTCTGAGTAGTTCAGTGAAGTGAGAGGTATTGCAACTCCAGCTTTTTACATAGGATAAGAAGAAATTATATGGAATCACCATCTGGAGGGCTGAAAGAATCCAGACTAATGTAAAGAGCTGTTGGGTTCCTGTAAGGCTGTTGGGAGCTAAGAGGGTAATGAAGGAAGGAATGGCTGGACCCTGATTTTGCACTTTCCCCTGCAATGGCTGGTGTTCTTTCCCAGGGAGTGTTCTTCTTCAGTGTGGTGGAAATGACCCCTCTGAGGCTGGGAAAATACGTCTATCCTGCCTGGGGACAAGGCATCGGCTGGCTCATGGCCCTGTCCTCCATGGTTCTGATTCCAGGGTACATGCTCTACTCTTTCCTCACCTCAGCAGGGACCCTCCGGCAGGTAGGAACAGCTTCCCCACCCTGCTCCGTGCTCGGGGCAAGCTCCTCGCTGAGCTAAACCCGGCCCTGCTCCGACAGAGCTCTGACAGAGCTGTCAGAGTGCTCCAGGCTGCTGCTGCAGGGGCTCTGTGCAACCCAGGGAGGGTCAGAGCAGTCCCAGTGCCCTGAACAGCCTCCGGTGCCACGGCACAGCTGGGCAGGACACATCTAACCTGGAGCTCTGCTGGGCTGTGGCTGCACCTGCAGCACCTTCAGGTGCTCTGCCCTCGTGTCTGCTGCTCCTCATTGACATCTGTGTGAGCATCACCACAGAAATGGAGCCCTCCTCCCCTCACTACCCCTTTGGTACTGGAGCCATGGAAGAGTTTGGGAAGAAATCCTTGAAATCTCTCAGCCCAGAGAAATCCCAGCTCCTGACAATTCCTGGCTCTGAGCATGTTTGTTGGCACTCCTCAGCAGGGAGATCAGCATCCTCCAGGCCTGAATCATGAAATGTCTCAGGCTGGGCCCTGCTAGCAGCAGAAACAAGCACAGGGGTGGTTTGTCACTGCCTTTCAGAGAACATTCCTGAGGGGTTAGGAGGCAAGAAAGACCCACAACACCCATCACACTGGTCTTGTTTAAAACATTTTCTTTAGTAATTTGAGCAGGATTTTATGTGGCAGTGACTCATGAGTCTCTGTGTCATGCCCAGTACTTACTGTTAAGATTTTATTTAGAGTGTTGACATTCAGTTGTGAGAGCACTGTGCCCCAGATCCCTGGCTCAGTGCTTACAGCTGTAAGAAGTCACCCCAGGAGTGTTGATTTATGGCTTTCCCAGCCCAGCTGGAGCAGCAACCAAATGCCATCTAAATCAAATGAGTTTGTTTTAGGGATGCTGTATTTTTAGCAAAGTCAGACTCAAAAAAGTTGTGGCTGGAATTACTGGGCTGAGGTCAGCTTCAGGTTCTCTGCCTGAGGGAAGTTGCAGGTGGATTTGAGTTTTCTTCCTCCCAGCATTCCTTTTGGATGGGCTCTGATGTGGGAACTGGGTGTGTTTGGGGACTTGGATCTGCTTTCAGTTCTGGCTTTTCATCTGAAGCTGGCTTTAGGTACTTTTCCTTCCTGCAGGACTCAGGCCAGGGTGTTATGTCAAGCCACTTCATTGATTTTGGGTTGAAGACCAGTGCAATTCCAACAGTATTTGGAATCTTTCTCAGATATTTACAGGGTTCCTTATTCACTCTTAATGTGAGCTGGAAAAGGGGGGAAGAGAAGCCTGAAAGTCCAGGTATGGGTTCAATGACTTTGCCCAGTGTCAGTCGTGTTTCTCTGGGGATGGAGAATTGCAGCATCTGGGGGAGCCCAGACTGGGCTGTGCCCTCTCAGGAGCAGCAGGACTCCTCCTGACCAAAGGCTTGTGCCATGTACATCCATCACCCTTCCCAAGTGCTGTGTAGTCCTGTGCTGCCCCAGGGGCTTGGAGGGAAGCTCCTGAGTTTCCAGCCATCCCCCCAGCATCCTGTGCAAACCACCAGCACCAGTTAGCAGCCTGAGTGGCTGATGTGCCACTCCCTGTCTGACTCTTCCTCTGACATTGCCCACAAACATCAGGAGAGCCAGACCCCCTCTCAATCATCTACAGACCTCGGAGTGAGCAGCAGATGGCAGCAGGAAGAAAGTAGGCTAATCTGTGTGAGTATGTGTTGGTATCGGAGAGACAGAGAGAATTTTTGGCCTCTTGCATGCACAGATCCTGGATTAATTTGTAATAGAGCTGGAGCTGGAGGGAAATTAGATGCCAATCCTGAATAAAGTGGTTTTGACAGACAGGAAAGATTACAAGTAATTTTGATCCTACTGAGCATGAATGTGAGAGGGGAAAAAAATACCATGAATGGCAGAAGCAGTTCAGTGAGCATTTCAGGGAATTCACCCAGCAGCAGCCACTTCAATGGTATTGGAGGGTAGGAGTTTGTTTCCCTTTACTGGAAAGAGGTCCTACCTATCTTAGTGATGTCTGTTCAGGTCAGGCTTAATCCTCCTCTGCATTGTCTTCTGCAGTGCACAGCATCAGTCCCTCACTGACTGGCAAAAGTGATTCATTCTTCCTCATCACTCCTGACACTCAATCCACACGCCTCCAGTAATGATTTTCCCCTCCATATTTTCCTGGGCTCTTGCCTCACTTTACTTGACTCTGCAATTTTTGTTTGATCGGCTCAGGGTGGCAGGAATCTCTGCTGCGCACAGGTTTGTGCAGGTGGATGTTCTGATCTGCATCAAAGGCACAGGCTCTGAGCTTGTTAACCCGCTGTAGTTACTTAGTAATGCTTTGTAATCAACTATAATTGGAAAATAGGTCTGCTCTGAGGCCTGTGGCATCGCAGCTCTCTCTTCTTGCTCCTTGCTGCTGGTCTTGCCTGGTAACAGTTTGCCTCTGTTAGCAGATGCTCCCCATATTTCAAATAAAAGGAGGAGCTGCCGTGCGCTCTGTGCAGCATCAAAGAAAAGGTGGCTGACAGAGGCTTTTGGGGTGCTGTAAATGCTGCTGGAGGAGCCACTCCATGCACCTTTCCCTTGCCCTGTAACCAGGGTCACCTCTGAGCCTTGGGTCCCAACCCTCGGCTGCTGCCATCCATGTCCTGCCTGTCCCCTGCTGCTGTCCCCAGCCCCACTGCTGCTGTCCCCAGCCCTGGCTGTCCCCCTGCTGCTGTCCCCAGCCCTGGCTGACGCTCTCCTTTCATTCCTGGGCAGCGTTTGCAGCAGATGACGCAGCCCAGGCCAGAGGAGCACCCTCAGAACAATGGCCTCCAGCCGAAGACGTCCCTGAACGGGAGGATCTCGGACGCCGCCGTGTAGGAGGAAGGCCGAACTCCTCGCCCTGCCCTGTAGTGCTCGCTCCACGCTGTCCCTCGAGCTCCTCTGGCACAGTTTGCTGTCCCTGGCTCTGCAGTGACTTTCTCTTGTCCCCGAGAGGCCCTGCTGGAGGAACTGTTGTGGCTCTTCCCCCGGCAGGGCTGACCAAGGCCTGAACGAGCGGCCACCAGGGCGTCGTGTGGTGGCCGCCTTCATCCTGCACCACCCTGCCCCAGGCCCTCAGGGGCGAGCAGCTGCTGCCCACATCTCCCTCCTGGCCAGGGGAGGTGGTGTCTCTGGAGAGCTTAGACTGATTGTTACCCACTTCTCTGTTTTCCTTTCCTTTCCCTGTGACACTCCACAGAGCATCCCCAGCACGCAGCTGTTTCACCCCAGAGAGATCAAATCCCAGATGGCTGTTGATTGATGGAGCATAAAACACCAGCGAATCCATAACTGGAGGGGATGTGCAGAACAAGGGATTCTGTGAGGGGTCCTGCATGTTTGTAGCTGTAGGACATCACCTGCAGAAGGGTTTGGGGGCAGTGTGTGCTGCTCCCGGTGCCGTGTTTCATCCCTGCGGTCTCCAGACATGTTTGCTGCATCCATTGGGGCTGGCACGGGGAGCCAGAGCCCCACGGAGCAGTCAGCCTTTCTTTTCTGAAGCATCCTGCCCTGTGTAGATGTGTGCAGTAGCCACACCCTAAAAAGCAGCTAAAAGGGTAAATGGAGGGCTCTTTGCTACAGGCTGTTCGAGTCGCCCACCCTGACCACAGCAAGCTTTGTGCAGAGGCAAGGCTGTGTGATAAAGAGATTTCCCAGCAATGTGCAAATCTCCCCCTGAGATAAAACAGGGCAGCTCCTGCCAAACACCCTCCCTGGCCGTGTCCCCGGGTGGGAAACGATCAGATGGAGCATGATGCCCATGGATGGCTCAGTTTATGCCTTTTCCAGGAAGTGGCCACTCCTAAATCCCAGCATGTGGAAGGCAGGAATTCCTGAGGTGGATGTAGCCACCATGCTGAATGAAGCCACCCCTGTGAGCCAGTGCTGACCTCCCTTGGGAAGTGTTTGCTCAGCCAGCTGCTGTCACTGGCACATCCCAACACAAACCACAGAGGGCTGTGAGCTCTTGTCGGTGGTGCTGGGGGAGTGCAACGCCTTGGAGAAGGCTGGGAAGTGTTTCAGAGCCATCCCAAAGCAGCAGCATGTTTCTTGGTTGTGAAGCTCTGTGAAAGGAGGTGGCTCATCACAGCACCAGGTGTGGGTGTGACCGTGAGGCTCCCAGCTGTGCCAGCCTCCCAGAGACCCCACACACACCCTTGTACACAGAGTGTTTGGGGAGTGCTGTAGCTTAGTGCTGGTTATTCCCTCCCCTTTCCTGGCACAGCATTGCCAGGTCTGTTCACACCCCCAGCTTCAGATCAGAATCGACAAACTCATAAATGAGCATTCAAGAAATGGTGTGTCCCACCCACCTTTCCTACCCAAGAGCCTGGTCTCAGAAGTGACACCCTGCAGTCCCCCAGGGGTCCTCCTGCAGGTGACAGGTGAGTGATGAGCCTTTGCACAATTGTCTTGCTCTCCAGTAACAGCTTCAAAACGCTGCAGGTTGGCCCTGTGCTGCTTGTCCCTGCCACTTGCCAGAGCACCTGCTCCTCTGCCAATCTTCCAGCCCGTGGATCAGGAACAGAAGAAGAAAGAAGTTTTCTGGTGAATGCTAAAGTCAGACCCCTTTGGGAGTGGGTCCCCTGCCAGCTCCTCTGGGCATCTCGATTAATGTTGCTTCAGAGCTGAAAGCAATTTGTATTTGTAGGCATGATTCTCAGCAGGGATGGCTGCTGGGCATGAAGTGCATGTTCTGTGGTCTGCAACACCCTGAGCTGAGATCACACCCTGTCCCACCTGTAATTGTTACAGTGTTTGTGTCAAAAAAATCGCGGCTGTTAAATAGACATGAGGAAATTCCGTATTTATAGGCTTGGTCTTGTAAAGCCAAAAGCCAAACACTGAAAGCTGCAATCATAGCTCATCAGCATTAATCTCAGCCAGCTACAGACATGTCATCTTCCCTTGTCCCTTAATTGTCTGTGCCACTGTAGCTGAAAATTTCTATTCCAATTTCACCTGTTTTTATGAACAGGGGCAATAAGGAAAGCACTCTATAAACATGCCCTTACTGAGGGACATCTGTGCTCAAAAAATGTGTTAAAGCTCTAAACGTTGCAGTAATGACCCTTACTAGAGCCTGCTTTTGCCTGTGTGTCCAGCTCCCAAAACCTCCCTCCCCCAAATGCAGACTGAGGGTGGCACAGATGGGTGATGGGCACTGGATTCAGTTTTTCAGTGAGGCTGTAAAACCATGCAAAACTTTGTTTCTTCCAGCTTCATTGGGACTGCTCAGGTCTGAAGAAGAACAAGTCCGTGTCAGTGGTACTTTTTTTAACTCTTGGCCAAAGAGTCTGATTGCTGGCAGAACTGTTCAAAGGTTGTTCCTCCAGGGGAGTGGAGAAGGAAGGGTCCAGAAAACAAAGTTCTTTCCCTGGCTGCTGAGGAAATCTCTAGACCCCCAATTCCTGTTTGCTGGGATTTTAGCCCCAGCAGCTCTCTGACCTGTGGCCTTGCCTGTAGCACGTCATTCCAGATGTAGCAGCAGGGACTGCTCATAATAACAACATTTGACGAGATTCAACCATTTGTTCGGTTCTCTGCTTGTGACCTTCTCCTTTGCTCTCTCTCCTGCCCTGCTCCTTTTTGTTGTCTTGCCTCAGTCCTTCCCCACTATTATTTGTCCAGTGGAAATTATCTACCTCAGCTTTCTTCCTCCTGCTTTCTTAGTTTCACTACTGTCAAATTACAATTCTCCCTCCTTTCTCTTCTCCTTTCTATTCTTTCCTCATTTTTATCTCTTTCTATTATCACCAGCCTCTCTTCCCTGTTTCTCTCGTGCTCTCCTTCCAGCACAGAGCTCCTTCCTGCTTGCCTGGCTCAGCTGAGTGCATGCTCAACACTCCTGCCAACCAAAAGCTGGAGCTCAGGATCCCACAGAGAACTCCAGCTTTTCACAGGATCCAGTCCCTAAGAACCAATTTCCATACCAATATCAAAATTACAGTGAAGTTCCAGGTATTCCTCTTCCTCTGTGCACCAGAAAACGCTGTGCCAATGAACACTATCTCCTGCTATTACTAGAAAGACATTTCAACCCACATTCCACCAGTGTGCACAGAGCTGTGCCTGGTCTGAAAGATTTTGTGCCCTTTCCTGTTTTTGCACTATTTTATTTCCACCATGAATATTTGGATCTGTGAAGTCTGGCATACATAACCCTGCAGGTAGGAATTTGCCCTTAGTCAAGCTCTGTCTGATGGACTGATCCCGTCCTCCAGCATTACAAACTCATCCCATCCTTAGCACTACAAGAGCCTTCCCACCCCCACACACAGGTTTTCCATCTGTTTTCCATAGTGAGAAGTCAGGGGTGTTGATGGACCCCCTTGAGCTCATCCCACAGCTCAGAAGTGCCACTCTGGGTGGGTCTGTCAAAGCAGCCATATCTGTTCATTGCCTGCAAGAACTGCTTTGTCCTGCTGGCAGGATGCACCACACCTGCTGACCACCCCTGTGCTCCCCATTCCTTCAGACTCACCCACAAGAGGGGCCATAGCCAGGGTGTGGAAGGCTCCCCTCCCCTCCCTGCTGTGGTTCAGAAGGGGACTGTGCTCCCCTGTGCTCCCCTACAGCACTCCTGCCTTTTCTCTGTCCCCTCACCTCCCCAGCACCTGCCAGCCTCTTCCTCCCACCACACGCAGCAGTTTGAAATAATCCTTTACAAAAACCTCTCAATTCTGAGGAGCTATTTAGGGACCTGTGTTCAAATCCCTCCGAAATCCTCTTTTTCCTGAAGCCAGCAAAATATTAAATGCCACTGCCCCCACCCTCTGCTGCAGCAGGGGGTGACACGGGCCATGGGAAAGG